GAGAAGGAGCAGGAGAAGGAGCAGGAGAAGGAGAAAGAGAAGGAGAAGGAAAAGCAGAAGGAGAGGGGAAAGCATCAAGAAGGAGCAGGTAAAATACATTGTTTGGGTCAATCAAAATCAGGGAAGATAAAAGAGATTATGTCTCTCATGCAGAGTTTTAAACTTACACTTTGATGGCCCTCTTCAGGTTTCCACTTTCAAACTTTGACTCAAACAGCAGTGTGTCATCCTCAGGAGACTGGAGCTTATAGAATGGATCACTGGATACTGTACGACCCCCAACTTTGGACTTTGTAAACTATGAATTTCAAACAATAACATTATGTGTAATACACAATACATCAGCGACCAATCTTTACCCACATTTACAACTTTGGAAGGCCATTGCTCATCGAAAGTCAAGGAGTATAATTTCCTGTTCTGCTTAAATTCTTGAGCTTTGAGTGAGTTTCATTGAGGAAATCAATGTTTAAAAGCTGATTAGAATGTAAATGAGAATGAGGTTTCTCATACTCATTAATAATTCATGAGGAAGCCAGCCAATCAATGGGCTATTTTTGGGCCACATGATGTTACTTGAAACCTGGTAAAGTCATGTGAAAGGACTGAATTCAGTCTGTAAGTAGTAACTGGAACAAAATTATTTCAGTCCCAGGACTGAATTAATTTTGTTCCAGTTACTCCAAGTTGAATAATAATGAGCATGAAAATGATAATAATAATAATAATGGGTTCTTACATAGCGCATTTTTACTTGTTTTCAATGCGCTTCACAATCATGACCAGTGGAGGACTTTACGGGCTGCGTATTATTTTTAGGTGCAAGTAGCAGCCGTGCAGCTTACAATCATGAGTAGAAGTCATTTCAAAGCCTCCAATTTCGGACTTCGCCTCGGACTGGAACTAATTGCTTGGACTTGAAATCCCGTCCAGTCCTCATTGTGCTTCTGCCATGAAGTTCATAGTGTCACAGACTACAGTTTTTGCACTCAAAATTACTTGGTTATAATAATTCAGATCTGAACATCTCACTAAATGCTAATAGCACCAAATTGAAACTTAGTCATTACTGAGGTTTGAATAATTACTGACTCTGATTATGTAAAACAATTAGGGGTCACAACAGCCTCCAGTACTGCCTTAAGCCAATGATAGCTTATTGTGCAGGCTGTTTGTGCGGTTTGTAATACTTACATACTTATCTGCTGGTTGTGGATTATCATATACTAACTCTCCCGCTTCATCTGCTGTCTTCCTTAGAGTGATACCAACGTCCACTTTGTCTAGGATCAGAAACAGATTTTAAACTTCATGATAATTTATTATACATTACTTTTTCATTTCTGATTGGCCAATAACATTCTGCTAATCCTCAGCATCTTTGTCAATCAGTGTTACAGCTGAAAGGTTTTCTGTGTCTAATAAATAACAATTATTCACCGAAAGCGAAGTGATTATCGGGGAATATTATTCATTAATATTATTCCCCAATAATCACTGAGCCTGAGGCAAATAATTGTTTTAGTATAAATACACAGGTGATTCTTTCAAAAAAAGAAAAAAAAAGAGATAAAAGGCATTTTTTCCGGTAACAGCAACAAAGGCCGCCATTTTGGATTTTCGCTCGAGGTGATTATCGTGTGATAGTGTGAGTTTCTTGACCAATCAGCGCAAAAGATTTTCTATAATCACCTGCATATTTTTACTAAAGTTTATTATCATCTTCATCATCATCATCACCACCATCATTATTAATATTATCTTTGATAGTGTGCAAACTTGAAATAATAAATGTATTATCCATAGACGTTTCAGGGGTTGCAATACTTTTGCTTTTTTAGTTTACAAAATACATGTATAACATGTCTACCTTGTTTCCAAAATGGTTCAGGGTTTTTGGGTGCATAATCAATAAACCTTGGTCTCGTGCTTATGACTCTCATCTCTGATGGCCTGTTAAAAAATCATACACAATAATATATGGAATTTATTATTAACATTATTATCATCATGACCATCACCATTGACAACACCCTTATTACTGTATCATCATTATCCCATCATCATCACTTAGTATCATCAACACCACCATTATCTACACTAACATCATCACCATCGTCACCATCCCATTATGTAATCATTGTCATCACCATCATCATCATATCATAACCTACCACCATCATCACTGCAATCATCATCATCACCACAATCATCACTACAATCATCCCATCATCATCACTATCATCACCGCTACCATCATCTACACCTCTAACATCATCACCATCATCACCATCCCATTATCATTGTCATCACTATCACCATCATAACCATCATCATCATCACTACAATCATCATCATCACTATCCTCAACATCAGTCACTACCATCATATTGTGGGCCATTTCATTCCTCTGTTACCATATTACTATCATCATCATCATCAGACACTATGATATTTTATGTGGGCTACGAAATATAATATACCTTGGAAGGCTTTCTTTCAATAATTTTAGCCCAATTTATTGATAAGGTTCTGTTTACTACAGACAAATCTAAACCTGGCCTAAAGGGTTTTAGTTGTAAAACATACCATCTTGGAGGTTGAAGGCCCTTTTCTTCATTAAATGCAAACAAATTACGAGGTTCCCTTAACTTGGGTACCTGAAATAAAAGATTTTTTTACCATTCATCATTTTTTTACTGGGGAGGGGAGGGGAGGCTGTAGGATTTGAGGGGGGGTCATTAAGGCCCCGTCCACACGTATCCGGAAATTTTTGTATCTGCAAATTTTTTTTTTGCAGATACAGGTTGCGTCCACAAGTGGCCGCAAATTTTTGTGTCCGTATCCGGAAATTTACGAAAACGGATACATGTGGACGGTGAAAATGATTCGAATACACTGCGTGTGGACGCAAACATTTTTGTATCTGCAAAAAGTAATTTGCGGATACAAAAATTTCCGGATACATGTGGACGGGGCCTAAAACAAATCTAGCTCAAGAAAGGGGGGCTGGCACAAAAAAATCAGAGTTGCACAACACTTTTACAATGAAAAGAATGGACAACAAGAGGGGCATTTTTTAATGTAAATAGGGAGAGGGAGGGTCAGATTTCTGGAATTGGTTAGAAAGTGATTCCCAACCCTACCCTCCTCCATGATAAAAAAAGAATGGTCCCCATGAGTATATCAATTTTCTTCAGTCTATGTAGGGCTGACATGATTATATTAGTATGGGATTATCCAAGATTCTGCATGATAGGGGTGGGTCCAACCATTAAAAAAACATACATGTGTATTAGACAGAGAGGGGGTAGGAAGGGGTGAATACCCTGGTACCACCCTTAAATATGCCTTTTAAAAGTATAGTGGACGGATAATCACCCTTTTTCCTCCTTTGTAGCTGTATACCAGTTGGGTGGTGCGCTTTTCTTCTTCAAACACTTTATAATCTGAAATCATTATTAATGAAATTATGTTATAACTATTTTATGCTTAAGTAGTTTATTAACTGATTGACTGACTGTTTGATTGACTGAAGGAACTGCTAGGTAATTTCCTTTATTAGCAAAAGCAACGAATGTTGTTACCGCATCTTACTTTCTACTACAGCACAATTTAAACTTCAGTTTATTGTACGACAAACTGTATGACAAACTGATTATCACAAACCTGTAATGTCAACAGATTTCAATCGTCTAGGAGGCGATTTGACCGCCTTTATCTTCCCATTTGTTCCATTATCGCTGTCCGAAGACTCCTCTAACACTTTATCTTTCATTTAGCTTGCTCTTCTTCGCATTCTAGCTTCAAATATCTTCATTCCAATACTTCAAACTCTTTGAATCTTTTTGAACTGGATTGTTGACAACAACACTTAGCGCCCATTGTAAGCTAAGTACTTCTGTTATATACACTTGATCGTCATTGATTTAGCCATTTCCTCTAGAATAACCTTTATTTTAATCAATTTAAGTATCAGTAAGGATTTTAATTGAATATAAAGTCGTTAAAGTCATAAAAATCATATAAAGCCAGATAATTGAATAGCCGTCTTTGACAACGGATGCTAACAACAACCAATCAAAACAAAACAACAGTCACTTAAAAACAAGTCATAAAACAACAACATCACATCACAGCACCTTCACTTACCTGTAATAAATACTACTGAGTTATATCCTTGTAATTTTGAAGCGTAGTTTTTGAAAAAAAGGGGAAAAATTTAACAACATTTTGTGCAGTTTTCGGTTTTCACGCGGTTCGTTGTAGTGGGGCCCAGTCTTCGTGGACGTGAGTCTTTTCTCAAAAAAAAGAAAATATTTCTGAAAATATTTCTGAGAAAAAACATGACTATACTGCGGTATACCTTTAGGAATACTAATTCTTATTATCCTTGACATCCATTTCTTAAATGTAAAAAAGAATATATACAAAATTCGTCGGGAAAAAGAGGACAATGACAAGATATATCCTTTCGGGGTGGGGGACAATTTCGAGTACAAAATGGTACTTACCGGGGGAAGAGTAGTATTGTTATATAAGCAAGATGGCGGCCAAGATGGCGAAATTTTTGTGGTCTACGAGTCTTCGCTCGCACAGACCATTCCTTGGCTTTTTATTCAAGAAATGTCACTCAAATGCAACAAGACAGTTTCCTGCTATCTTATCGAGGTATTTTTTTGACCCGTTTTTATCTTATTTTGATAATGTTTTGCTATTTTGATTGGATTTTTTTGGACAACTCTCACACACACGTGTGCAAGTGTTACGTCGCAATCTGTAATTCTATGATTTATGAGTTTTAACGAGAGAGAGGATAAAGGAATAAAAACAATGTAACATTGTACTAACATTGTACAGCGATTTATAGGAGACACAAGCTGTATTATTAATATATATGCCTACTGTCTGTCTGTCCGTCCCTTTCGTTTAAATGTATGTCAGTCTAATCGTAGAATGCAAACAATATAACCGTGAAACTTTAGTAATCCTTAATAGCACAATTTCATGCAAATTCCATTGTTTTCTATTGTTTAATTAGCGCTATTTTGTACTATTTAGTAGTGTTTCACGGATTAATTGTTTGCTGTCTGTCTATCTATCTATTGGTCAGTCAGTTTATTTTCCTATCTGTCTACCTTTCTACCTCTATGTCAGTATCTTTCTGTCTGTCACTATCTGTCTGTCATGATCTGTCTGTCATTGTGTGTTATTATCTGTCTAGTTCTCTGTTGTTTTCTTAATGAAATTATTTCTAAAGGTATATCTTACATTAACTTATTCATTGCAAGGATATCTGTCAAGTTGGTACCAGTGAATCTTATGGCATCTTGATCGATCAGGGCAGTTACATGTAAAGATATCAAAGCATCAAAACATGTATTGCAATGAAGATGTATTTCTGACAGAGGGGGAGTGGGGGGGGGGGGGAGGGGGGAAGGGATCTCTGGTGTCAGCACAACCACTCCACTCCTCAAACTCTCATATAATTTTATTAGTTTGTAATATATTCTCATTGATATTCCCACAGTGCTCATTTATCAAGTTTATCAACCAAGCCTGTCAGCAAGAATCAAGATTCTGAACCAGAAATACAGAACCCTCCAGCTACAAATAATCTAGATCTACAAAATAATGATGAAAATCCAATGACTTTGAAGTCAAGGCTAATGAGGATTGTGTATGTCTTTTTAGATTTGTTTATCATGCTATATTTTTTCATTGTTATTGGTATTATTCAGAGGAAACAGTTTTTAAAGTAGGTAGTTCTGTACTAGATTAATATACGCTTTTTTCAATAAAGTTAGTCACCCGAAAAGCTACAAAGCTGAGACCGACAAGGATTATGGATAGATACATTTTACATGTTTCAACCGCTTGATAACTGTTGATGGACTTGAGATCTTCTACCAGTTACAAGTTAACCTCCTCTGAGCATCCTCAACTGCTGCAGTTTGTGTCAAAAGCTTTACTCGTTGAATATAAAGCATTCCCCATATGATTCTCAGCGATCACAGCTTTCTAGGTTTTTGGTGACTAACTTTATCAAAATAAGTATAAGTGATTTCCATTTGATTGTGAAAAAGCTGACCAACCTCTGTTGGGTACCTTCAATTGAAACCTCTGATTATTGTTATTCTATGAATTAGTACCGAGGAAGATGACACATTTCAAATGCCGACAGCTGCTGATATTAACCAGTCACAGTCAGCCTTTGATGATCAGCTAGCCAGGTAAGCTTGAATTTGTCATCACTTTTTTGTGATACTGTATCTGTCTTTGGGAATCATAGGTTCACCGAACCCTAGCTTTATTGGTCTTGTGATTCCAGTATCACACGAAACGAGAATTTGTTATGTACATATTACCTGACATTGTCGAACTAAAATTAGAACTTGCCTGGTGAAATCTTTGTTGAGTCAGAATAGACCTTATTCGTGGCGTGACAATGTTTTCCCAATTCAGCGTGAGGAACCTCCAGGGGATTCATTTTCTTTCATTTTTACTCTTCGAAAAATTCATGAGTATCCCAAAGGATACGAAAGGAATAACGATGATATCCCGACGAGTTTCAAAACAAAGCTCTTCATTCCCCCAGAGGTTTGTCACACTGAATTGGGAAAACATTGTCACACCACGAATTAAAGTTCTATTGGGGTAAGAACAAGCTAAAAGTAATTTAGATTGTCATTAATATATCATGACCAGTGACTGACCAGCTATTCCTTTTATTCACCATTTTCCATACATTGGTTCACTGGTCAAACACAAAGCACTCAAGTGAGGCGCCAAGTACTTTCAAAGGATTATTCAAATTTGAGCCTTGGAACCTTGACTGAATGCTTTGTGTTTGACCAGTGAAACAATGTATGGAAAATGGTGAATTCCTGTCGATTCAATGATTTTGGTTGTTTTTAGTAAATTTGTGAACTGCATGATGTGGGATGGTAAGAAATCAACTTCACAGAGAATCTTTGACCAGGTAAATACAGTTCCGTAATACTGTGGTTTTTTTTTGGTACATGGTAATGAGCGCATTGGCCACCCACATTTACTGACACCCTGTTGAAGGATGCTGTTGCAGCCAATAGAGGCTTTGCACCACCACTTGATGGCAGCCTTGTTAGATGGCAAGAACAAGGGCAGATCCAGGGGGCAAAGGGGGGCTTCAGCCCCCCTTCAGCAGAAAAAACAAAACAAAGCAAAACTGAAGAATTAGATGCTTTTTTTTTATTGTTTTCCATTGCATTGATGGAAGAAACTCAATTAGCACCCCCCTCCCCCTAAAATTTTGGCTGGATCCACCCTTGAGGAACCATACAATCATTTTACGATGTAAGAAAGAATTCAATTTCCAAAAGTAAAGGGAATTTTATTGTTCTGCCATCTAGCCACAGGCAGCCCAAGCTGTATTATGGGCACCGGCACATGATGGTACAAACCCTCTATTCTGCAGAGCTAGACGTCTGCATGGCTCACCGTGAGAGCTGGGGGTCCGTGCTGCCTTGCCATAAAATGTGATTTGTAATTTCTGTTTTTAATTTTGTAGGCATTGGAAATAATAAAGAGAAATCAACTTCGGGTGTAAGTAGAACTGTTACTGCTTGTTTATATGTGTAAACTGTACAGTATTTAATACATGAATACCCCATGCTCACACATCTCCAGTAAGTAATCCAGACAGGCAGTATTTTCTATCTGTGACTGTGGTCAAGTATCCTGGGATAACAGATTGCTAAACAGGAAAATTAAAAGCAAAACAATTGCTTTCCCAAAGATGGTCCAGATAGGGAAAAAGTGTAGCCTTGGCTTTAAAAAGAAACCTCGCCCTAGCAGTCTTGGTCCCTATATTCAAGACCTTGGGCACAGTTGTTGCCTTACCAGATCCCCTGGGTGGTAAATAACATCTATTTATTGATTCTAGGACATTTTGCACAAACCCATTGTTAGGTAACTTCTTTAGTTTATTGATGTATTTTTATTATTTTTACAGCCAGAGAAAATCCAGTGACCCAGATTCAGTGGTAACTGATCCAGTGGCTGTTTTTCATCAGGCAATTGAAAATGTCAAGCCTATTGTTGGATGTATTCCACTAAGAAGAGCTGGGAAAGTACATCAGGTAATATAGCCAGACTGGTCTGAAATAGACCCTTTAAGCTTGGACATGATGTTAACCAGAGCATGTCAGTGGCAGATACAGGGGGGGGGGGGGGGGGGGGGGGGGGGGTGGGGGGGGGGAGGGGGTGGTGTGGATTGGGTGGATTTCCACCCTCCCTTGTTAGAGTAAATGTGAATATTTTTAGGAAAATAGAAGAATATGATAGCATCAAATTACAAAATATGTCGAGAGTCAAAATTTAGCTGCATTCACAAGTATGCAGTACACCATAATTTTTGTTATAATGTTTTCATTTTTTTTTTGTTTGTACTGCAAAAAGAAGGCTCAAAAGAACTTTTTAAAAATTATCCACCCCTCTTTTTAATGGTACCCTTTTAATATCCTGTATCCGCCCATGCATGCGTCATTCTCTTGAGAATAAGATACTTGGAAGGATTTTAAACTGTAGCTGGACATATTGAACCTAGCAGTATGCAGGCCATAGGTCATAATGAACCCAGTAAATGACCACTCATTATGAGTCTTTCTTGTAGCTCAGTAGTAATTAGAGCATCTGACTGGTATCCCAAAGAGCATGGGCTCCTTTCTGCAAATGACAAATGATAAATAATTTCTTAATTTACTGTACTGTCCTACAGTAGCATCAATAAATTTCATATAGCAGGGTTCGAAATAGCAGCCTGCCAATGACCAGATAACAGGCCAAATTTCAGGTTAGACAGGAGAAAATAACATTGCACTGCCAAATGAATACTAAAATGACGTGCAAAAGTTACTAGAATGACCTCCTTTTACCATGCTCCTGAAACTATGGCAGGCTACATTTTTTGCCTATTTTGAGCCCTGATATAGATATTTTTTGTTTGAGTTGTATCCATATTAATTTGTCTTCTCATACATAACCATTAAACAAAGAAATGATACTCTAGGAAATGAAGCATGATCTGAAATATAAAAAAAATTGGGCCCAAACTGAAGAGGTCTGATTCAAATCATTATGCTAAAGTGAATAATCTGTTAAAGGATTTGTCTTTTTCGTTCTCGTCTTTCAGGTTCCTTCACCCCTTAGACCAGTGCGTCGACAGTTCTTTGCAATACAATGGATAATAGATGCTGCAAGAAAGAAAACAGGGTCAAAAAATGACCGTATGTCAGAAAAACTGGCCAAGGAACTTTTAGATGCATACAATAACGAGGTAAAATTAATAATGGTTATTTGAAAATCATGAAATATTCTACACTTTAATAAGTTTTAGTATAATTTAAGACTCGAATACAGAGTTTCTCCAGTTGTGATTGTTCGAGTAACTGGTGATTCTGAGATGATAATCACCGCTGGAGTAGTGATTATGAGGCTTTCCAAAGTTTTCCAGATTGGAAGGAATACTAAAAGGTTTTTTTTCCCTGAATTTTGACTTTTCTCTGATATTTATATAACAATTATTCCCCTCAGGCTCAGTGATATTTTGGTGGAATATTTACCTAGCCACTCGAAGACTCTTGGGCTCAGTTAATATCCACCAGTAATCACTTTTCCTTCAGCGAATATTGTTACATATTTCTAAATTTTTTCCATTTTTCCACTTCTATCTAGGGTGCTGCAATTAGAAAAAAACAAGATTTACACAAGACCGCTGATGCTAACAGAGCTTTTGCTCATTATCGTTGGTGGTGATGGATGAAGAGCTCATGAAATATCACCTTTATCATTAAGACAGTTGTTCTGATTGATAAGCGGTTGAATCCACTCCCCACCCCTCCCCCTGTAAGGTTGAAATAAACCCTTCTTAAAATTGTCTTGGATGAGAGACTAACATGAAAATACTGAAGAAACGACACAAATGCTATTGAGAAAAGGTGTGATTTCTTTTGGGTTCCAACAGACTTTTGAGAAGGGTCAATAGACCTCTTCGGCTTGGGGTAATGTTTTCCCATTTCAGACGATGTGTCATTCCCTTGAGAATAAGATTCTTTGTTTGAGCTG